CGATCACAAATTGATCCAAGCAATGTTGAAAGATTCGATTCATCATATCCATAAATGCTGCTGCTGGTGCATTTGTCAATCTGAAAGGCATAACAAGAAATTCATAATGCCCATAACGAGTCCTGAAGGCTGTTTTAGGAATATCTTCTGTTTTGACTCGAAGTTGATGATAACCTGATCGGAGATCAATCTTTGAAAAATATTGTGCACCTTTCAGCTGATCAAATAAATCATCAATCCTAGGTAGAGGGTACTTATTCTTTATAGTGATTCTATTTAACAACCGATAATCGATGCACAATCTAAGGGTTGCATCACTTTTCCTCACAAATAATGCAGGAGCACCCCAAGGTGAAACACTGGGCCGAATGAATCCTTTCTCTTGAAGTTCTTGAAGTTGCTTTTTGAGTTCTTTCAGTTCTGCTGGTGCCATTCGATGAGGAGGTATAGAAATAGGCTTTGAATCTGGGTGTAATTCTATCACAAACTCCACTTCACGCTTTGGTGGCAATCCAGATAACTCTTCGGGGAACACATCAATGAATTCCTTTATGATAGGAATTAATTCTTCTTGTGACCCACTAATTTCTTCGGTTATAATGTTGGCTAACAAGCCCAAATAATCAAGTTTTCTTTTATGCACTTTGTGAGGCTGCTTATCCCCATAGAAACTGAAAGTTTTCCCCTCAGGAGGATTTATTGTAATTTTCTTCGTACTGTAATCAATTATAACCTCATATTTTTTAAGCCAATCCACTCCTAAGATAATATCATACTCCAACATGTCTAATATCTTCAAATCAAAAGGAATTCTATAGTTTGACATTTCTATCTCGCAAGATTTACACACTTTAGCAACCTCTTTGCTCCCACACAAAGGAGACCCAACTAACAAAGAAAATTCCATGTTTTGAGTTTCTAACCCAAGAGTAGATGCAAAACATTTTGATATAAACGAGTGTGTAGCACCACCATCAAATAATACTCTAGCTGAAGAGTTGAAAACTAGAAACGTACCTTCCACTAGTTCATGCTCAGCTTGACTTGTCACATTTCCTATAGTATAAACTCGTCCCTGTGTGAGTTGTCCAGATTTCTTATTTGGAGGAGCTCTTGGTCTGGCTTGTGAAAATTGCCCTTCTAGACGTTGTGACTGTTGAATAACTTGTGGTCTTGGCCAATTTCCTTGAGTTTGATAAGGGACATAGTTTTGAGGTGGTGGTGCACGAAATTGTGTTTGTGGAGTATAAAATTGTACTTGGGGGGCACGATATTGCACTTGAGGTCCTTGATTCCTTTGTTGTCGTGGACAATTTTTCTTAATATGTCCGATTTGCTGACAGTGATAACATTTTTGCGGTTCTTGGCTTCCCAGTGGTTGATACGGAAAAGGATTAAATCTTGTCCGCTTATTGGTATGTTCACTGCTAAAGTCCTTATGATCCGAAATTCTCTTATTTTCAGACCGTTCCGCTATGTACGCTCTTTCCTTTACATCAGCATACCTGCTTAACTTTAGAATTTCCACCTTTTCCAAGATTGATTGTCTCAACCCTTCTTCAAATTTCCTTGCTTTTGCGGTATCGTCGGGAATCATATAAGGTGCAAAACGCATAAGCTCTTCAAATTTAGCCTCATATTCAACAATAGTTAATTCTCCTTGTACGAGATTAACAAACTCTCTTGCTTTCATACTCCTCAAAGTACTTGGGAAATACTTTTCTAAGAAGATAGTCTCAAATTCTTCCCAAGTTGTAACTTGTGTATCTGGAATACTTAAAATTGACTCCCACCAATGGTATGCTTGTCCTTCTAAATAAGTACAAGCAACAATCACTCGAACGTCTTCTGGAATCTTTTGGTTATCCATTTTTCTCTTCATCTGCCTCAACCATTCTTCAGCGGCTATAGGATTTGGCTCACCACTAAATATAGTTGGTTTTGTCTTGCGGAATTCTCCTTGTATTCTCATAACTCGATTTTCTTCAGTTTCATGATATTGGTTATGGTTATTACTTTCTCTAATTGCTGTGGCCATATCCTGAATAGCTAAAATTACTTCGACATTTCCGTTGAACTCATTTTGATTGTTTGCCATCTCGAATCCAACAAAGAAATTATGTCAAAATAAAAGAAAGAAAGAAATCATAATAATATAAAGTATATGGTAATACCAAGACAATTAAGAAAACATATATTTACTAACATTTATACGATTTTACAGCAAAAAGTTGTTCAAACTATTTTAACTAACTTACCCTATGCTACAACAAAAGGTCTTATGCTCTACTTCCCACTGCCTTACTATTTTACAACAAAAGACTAGTAGTCAGTTTGTAAGACTTTGGAGAGCATTTATTTTTACACAACTACCACCTTCTTCGTCCTTTTTAATCTTCCTCATCCGAATGGATGATGATCATTTCTGGTGGTGTATGTCGTGGTGGTGTAGCACTTTTAATTGAACTTTCACTTGGATCTTCTTCTCCACCTTCGTTTTCCTTTTTGTACTGACTCATTTGGTGGTTCTCTAGCCAAAGGATTTTCGAGATCTACTGGAGGCCACCTATTTCCATTCTCTTCTATAAGTTCCACTACTACGGAATTGTAAACATTATCATTATTGATTCCATCATCATCAGCAGCTTCAACAACATGCCTTCTTGTTCTAATGCTATGCTTTGCAATACGCTTTTGGGCTTGAAAGGTGTAATTGCGCCTTCTAATTGCGGTCTGTTTAATTATCTCCTTAACCAGATCTCGGGTGGCACTTCGAATAAGGCTTTTATATCGATCAGGATTTGTTGGAATACACCCATAATAGGAGAGGTGGAATTCTCCACACGATCCATCACTTATATTAGACTCCATTGTATCTGTCAAGGCCATAAAGAAATAAGACATCTAGAATACAATAATTGTATAACAGCTTGTCAAACTTGTAACAAAACAAAACTTCCTTCTTAAAGGTAAGAATACTTAAACTGGAAATTCTAACTCAAAGGATTGTAAACCTAATGCTCTGATACCAATTTGTCACGCCCTAAAATTTTATTTTTTTTTATTTTTTTTTTTGGAGCATGAATAACAAGGGTAACTTAAAGGTAGTAACAGGTGTCTGTGTTGAACTAAAACATTTCATTAAACAAAATAATTTACATTGTCATTACACGTAAGAGAAAACGACAACTACTCCATAACAAGTTTAAACTATTTATAAGCAGTCTCTTTCTTCCGAGTCAGCCACTAGATTCCTGTCTCTTCTCCTGTAACACAACTAATAAGGGTGAGCTAAAAGCTCAGTAGGGGCCCAAGGTCTCACGTGATTAATATTATGAATGTTATGAATATTTTATGAATAATGTAATGCAAGAACAATACTTCTTTTCTACCCAACCCGTTAACCTATATATTGAAGCAACCAGACCTGCATGTCCCATACCATGCATTTTACCACTGTGGCCCCGAGTGCTTTAATATATAGAATAACCCCCATCAACTCACCCAAGTTCATAATCCCTTTTGCTAGTCATCTTATCTGATTCATTGATCTCCAGCCCAAATCACCCACATCGACAATTTCCGTCAATATCCTATTCTATTGTGCACATCGGGCTCGCCTGGAACTGGTTTCACAATGAGCAGACTCAACTACACAAAAGCTAATTTCCACCTTTTCCCACAACACAAGTAACTCCTTTACTTCTTTGACAAATGATAATGATCATGCCAATATATAATATACCACATAACAATCATATCTAAGTCAATAGTTGAATACATCTCAAGTCCACATAACAATATTTCCCGTAATACAAGTAACAAATGCAATCAATTAATTCCCCAAATTCCCCTACCTTGAATCCTCTCTTCTTACTCCACGAGTACTTCTTTTGCTTATCTCCTTTTTAACACTCTCTTACACACTTTCTACATACGGGGCGTATTGCACTTTGCAAGAGGAAAAAATCTAACACATATGGAGCATTGCTCCTATTTTATACCATAAATAAGGCGGCAAAGTGGTTCTCATTGGTTATCAGTTTCAACATCAAATGCTACTCCACCATTCCACGTTAGCTATAGGCTTGCTTAATCACCAACCTAGGCTTCAATAGTCATCACGCTAAGGTGCTTACTAAGCACCCTAAAAGCCCTACATGATAACACCTCAACTACATTCTTTTCACCAACAAGTTAATCTAATGTCCTTGGGTCGGCATATGGAGTGAACTACGTGGCAAACTTTGCCACTCCAAGAAAGCCATTTGACCTCACTTTCCTAGTCCAAAAGAGTTAATAACCATTTTATAAGGTTCGTAGTAAATTAATTTCAACCCAAACTTAACTAACCTAAGTTAAATAAAAGATGTCCCCCTTTAAGCAAGATTAAATAAAAAGAGAAGTCTAAAAGTTTAATCAAAATGAGCACGTAGGAAAAAGGTGTATAAAATTCAGAAATTATGGGACTCCACACAAGGGCTCAACACATTCTGAGCCAACCTAGATACCAGCTTGGGCTGGTATTAGGAAATATTTTTCATTACTCAAAAGAATAACTTTACACTTGGGTTTTATACAAAAGCATCACAGCTTAACATAAAAGGAATCACTACCAAAACTAACTTAATATTCCTTATCATTACTTAATCCCGAAGTATTATCCCTTGAAGGTGTAATTACATTTTTGTCCCTAATACTGGGTGCCAGCCTATCTGCTCGGCTGGATACTGGGCCAATAATTTAGCGGGTACCAGCCTAAAGGTTCCCCGATAGAACTGCTCTAAGAAATAAAAGGGGAGACATCAAGGGGACAATGCTTGTTTTTCTTTTTGACTTTTGCAAATGGAAAAAGGCTATGTTTTCGGTGAAAGCACCATTCTTTTGTTTTTTTTTTAGGAAAATGTGAAAGCACCATTCTTCTTTTTTTTTTTTTTTTTTTTTTTTTTTTTGGAAACGTGAAAGCACCATTCTTTGGTGAAAAGAATAGTGTGGTCTTTTGTTTTCTGAGAGAAAAAAAGAGAGAGCTACGCAGAGCTCAAAATTGGCAGAGAGTTGAGAGCACAGAGGGTGCACCAGAAAAACAGAGAAGGAGCGGATGAGTAAGAGGATGAATGGGGGTGAGGGTGAGGGTGGTGAACGGATCAGCCTTTTCGACAGGTCTCAAAACGAAATCATGAAGCTCATTTTTGCAGTGAATTACCGTGTTCCTGATGAGGGCCATGCCAGCTTTGATGTTCATGCTATTTTCTCGACTAGTCAGAAAATCATTAAGGATTCGGCCAACATCATTCACAATATTAATGAGCAGGTATTTATACTGCTGCTCCTTTCTATCTACTCTTAATAACTTTAAGCAGTAAGAAAAATAGTGCTCATTTAGTTTTATTTATTTTTTATTTTTAAATAGTGGGTACTCGACAACTCTAAACTGTTCGTGTTTTTTTTTCTTCTTTTTATATTTTTTCCTTACGACTGTTTTTTGTTTCTTCCCGTTCTGACTGTTATGTTATGAGAATTACACTACGGACAAACTTCTAATTGCAAACTTGAAACTTGACTCGATTTATTGATCAGCAGTACCCAAAAATAGCCAAAATGTTACATGTATAGGACAAGGATCCTCGCCGGATCATTTTTTTTAGGGATCCTAAAGATTCCGCAATCGTGTCCGTTCATCATACATTATGGAGTTAGTTTTCGTTAGGTACTTTTATATTTGAATTTTAAATTTTAAATAATTTCTCACTACACAAGATAAACGAATACGATTGCGGGATCTCTAGGATCCATAGGAAAATGATCCTCGCCGGATCCTTTTCCACATCAATAGGATTGCTTGATTTGTGAAAAAAAAAAAAAAAAAAAACTCAGATTAAATGTTTAAAGAAATGCACTTCAGTAATGTCTTAGTGTTTAAGAATAATTAGATATTAGTTGAAACACCCAAAGATGTTTACCACTTTTGCATGTCTTATCGCAGGGCAGCGGATTTAATGATGTTGAAACACCCAAAGCCAGCTCCAGCTTGTGCACTCTTATTAAGGAGAAATTTTTAAATGTGACGGGAACACGATTCGGTACCTCAAGTATCATAATACGAGTGGTTGGAAATTGGATAAAAAAAAATTTCAACAACTTGTTTTATGACACTCGGTGTACCGACCCATATTCCCGGCACTTTAAAAAATCTCTTCTTATTATTAACTCCTTTGGCTGCAAGGTCATCATATTAACTGAATGCTATTTTCCTTTTGTTCTTAATTTGGTAATCCTTTTAGTAATTACTGGTGAAAATGAAAATGTTGTTTAATTTTTGTTTAAGACATAAATGTCATTACCAAATATCTTTGATTGAAGTTTGATGTTAAATTAATTAGATTTTTTAGTTTATTTTTTTAGCACTTTTAATCATAGCTTCATTGATGCACCTTCCAATGGAAAAGTGTTTTATCCAAAGATGAAAATCCTATTGTCCCGTTTTATGTTGTTAACAACACTATGATGCAATTTCAGATGTCGTGTAAGAGTTCAGGTGATGAAACTTCCTTTGAATCACGTACGGAAGAAATACTTACAAAACTATCGAGTTATCCATGTGAAGTACAGGTAGTATTGGCCCTGGCAGTTTTTGCTTTGGAATATGAAGAATGTTCCAGTCAACTTTCCAAGAAATCGACAACGCTGAAACGCCAAGATGCAGTAGTCGAGCTTAACAATCTGGTCAACCAAGCGTTACAAGTGATTGAGCACATCCTTGAGTTGGAGAAACTAGTTTCTTATGATCGAGACAGTGAACCAAAATTGGCGAGGGTAATTATGGATACCCCATTTAATGCCTACTGGTCAATCATAACTCTTGTAGCTTGCGCAACTGAGCTCTTTTTTCTTACCGGTGATGAGTAAGTTCTTGTACTAATTTTTCTATTAAGATTTGATAAAAGAAAACAAAAACAATTCTTCTTGCCAACTACGTATACGGGTTATATATATATATATATTATAACTAGAAGGGTTCTTTTGTTAAAATCTATATTTGACAGTGTTTTTGTGATGTAATTTCTAAGAACAAGGAATGAAGAACGACACAGAGAATTTCAGAGAGAATTGCAGGAGCTAATCGTAGCAGCACTGCAAGATATTTTTCATTGATTCAAAAATTGGTTGTTTGTACAATCTTATCTCTTCTTCCTCACTACAGAACAAAGACAATTAGCTAAAAGCAATTTAAGCCCTTCAATTAGGAAACTAATATGGTGCATACAATTGTCCTATGAGACTAAGTCCACACCTTACCACTGACATAAATTAAAACTAGCCGTTGGAATTCAAATTTAAAACTGGCAGATTTCTTGCAATCCAAACTTTCGGGGGCATTAAGTCAAATTTGCTATAATCCAAATTTAAAACTGGCAGATTTCTTGCAGTTGAAACATCTTTAAGGTTTGGTATATTATAAATTTGCTATTTATATCTGACTATCATTTGATTTGCTCTTAAATTATTTCAGGGACATTAAGTCATATGATCTATCCCATTTTTCTCACAAAATGAGCTTCATCCTCAACAAGCTTGAGGGACAGCTTACAATCTGCCAACAAGAAAATGGTCGGTTGTGGATGCATGATATGACTCCCGAGGGACATTATATATTGCATTTGCCATTAGTCCAATATTATTGAATCTATTTTATTTTTCTAATTAATACAGAGGAGGCAAAGGCCAAGGCCGAGGAAAAGTTTTGGGAACAAATACGCACTGCTTCTGGACTGCTTCTGGAATTACCGAGGTTTTCCGAAGGCTGGTTCTTTTCAAGCATAAAGGGTATCCGCAGCCTCGCATCAGTGTTGATCCCGCTAACACGGAGGTTTGGTCCCCTAGCAAATTGATTTTCTTCATATCTGGATTACTACTCAGCAACTTATTTAATTGTGGTTATCTTTTTTTTTGGGTAATGTGGGGGTACACCGAAAAACACAAAACTATCTGAGAAGTACACAAACTAGGCGGTTTTTTACCAAACCCCAAAATATCATCAGACAAAGGATCATCATTCCAAACATGAGGTTCTTCACGAAAACAAAAACCCAGATCAAAGTTGTAGCTCCAATTGGCTAGACAGTCTGCAACAAAATTCTTCTCTCTGTAAATATGCAGTTTCCAGCACCACCGTTCAAATCTCATCTGAGACTCCAACAAACACACACAAATCTCATACCAAAAACACATGTTCAACCTTGCAGCTCCAACACCGATTTCTACCCTCTCATCTTTCTTCACGGTCTCCCCTCTCCCTATACTTTCTCACTACCCAGTACCCGTTTCTTTAATTTTGCATCAGAAATTAAGGAAAATAAGGAAAGATAAATCGTATTTATCAAATAAAAAATGATACATCCAAATGAAAATTTAAATCACTCTGGACTCCAACTCGAAAGAACCGATTTGAGTAACCCGGCGATTGAATCGAAAATACCAACAATCATATTTATCTTTCCGCCGTCAAGCTCCGCACCAGAAAGACATCGTTTCCTCCATAAGATACAAAGAGAGACCATACGACGGAAACCACGGAGATGAGGAAAAACTTAATTTATCTGTCAGTGTACTCTTCCCACAATCTGATGGAAGCAACGAGCGAAGCAGAGCACAAACGACGGAATTGAAAGACGTTCAAGAAGTTGGAAGTTATCAGATGCAGTGACAGTGCGAGACAAAGAATCGGGGTTTTTTTTTGTTACGTCTTTATTGAAAGTGCACAAAAACACCTTCAATTAATGGATGTGGTAACGGACCTAATTAAATGGTTGATCCAAAATAATCTGTTATTTAACTGGTCCATCCGTTAACAATCCAACTCATTAAGCATTCACCAAAACATTAATCTTAACGAATGAGCTGGGTCGGGTTAACAGATGGGGTCTTAAATGCCAAGTCTACCTAGGACATTGATTTTTTCCATATATGTAATACTACTCAGATGGGGTCTTAAACCCCACCCACTGTTTTCATTGCCTAAACCCAGCATGACCCGTCCAACCCAAAACCCAGCGAAGAATGCACTCGCACTCCCAGTTGCACAAATCTTAACAAAACCCAGTAATTAACAAATCAAATCTGATAATTAACAAAACCCAGTAATTAACACAATCCAAATCAGCAACAAAAGATATCAATCGTATAGCTGGGTCAATCTGCAGTGCAACGGTAGTGGCTCCGTGCTGCTGAGTGCCGCCTGGGTGCAGTTGACGGCTATGGGAGAGGATGAAGAAGAAGGATGAGGAGGAAGGATGAGGAGGAAGTCTACAGGAAGAGAGAGCAGCGGCAGAGAATGGATTTAGGGTTTGTTTTTAGGATTTGAATGGTGTAAATTTTGAAAAAGACAAGGAGCATTTTTATCTTAAAATGTTAAAAATTTGTGTCCCACGGACATGGAACAAGCCGTTCCAGGGGGGAGGTGGAACCAAAAATCATCCAAAACTTGTCCCGTGGAACGCCTCGTCCCACTCGTTTTAGGCGCACCAAACGTGGGACGGAACGCCTCGTCCCACTCTGTTCCATCCCGTCCTGTGTACCAAACGTGCCCTAAATGAGTTATGTAATGATACTTACTACTACGGTGGCTACACCGCATGCTGGTAATAAACTGTGCAGCTGCCTATTTTTCCTAAAATAAGGAGCAGTTTTATTTGTGAATTGACATGTTGATAATTGTTTGAATAATCGGAATCATTAATTTGAAACGAATGTTTAGCTTTCATTCAATCGCTTTAATTACTTAGATAATATGCATGAGATCGCATGAACTTCTTGTTGATATTATTGTAATTGATTGACATATATCATGCAGTGTAAACTTTGAGAGGGATCGATATATGAGTCATGTGGTTTATATGGGCTTGCGTCGTGATGAATGGAAACGTAGAATTCAACCCCCTACGTAGAATCCATGGGTGTTAATTCACATAAACCAACACACAAGGGGACGAGTAGTATAAGCACGGTATATACGGGACGTGTGAGATCTATGTATTTTGGAGTATGAATTAACGAGGATAGAGGTGGGAATGAGGAATGCATTTATTAACATATGTTTTAGAAATATGGAAAATAATTAGGGAGCTTTAATGAGTGTTGATTTTAATTTGGAAACAACATTTTAGTTTGGGCAATTTTTTTTGAGTTTATGTCATGTCTTATGAGTTAAATAATACAACCTTGCATCATTTAAAACAAGGGAGTTTTAATAAAACACTCCCGGTACTGTTCACTTTTAACGAAAAACCACATTTTTACCTTTACCTGACACTATTCACTATACCTTTAAAAAGTGTTTTTCATTAAAAATGAAGTTTTTTTGAACTTTTCGTTAGTTTTCTTTTAAAAGAAACTAAGTAATAATATTTAAAGAAATAATGGTCATCATTTCTAGACAATGACACTATTCTTAGAAATAGTGGTCACCATGTACCACATTGACATATAACACATTACGTGCAATATATGAATATATGAAAGACGTAGTATTTTAGTAGTTTTGACAATTTTGGGTTGGAAAATATTATATATAATTACGTATATTATAAGATACAAGGTGCATGATATGCAGATGCACAATAGCAGGAAGTATATATATGTATGCATGTACCTGAAAGAAACCTAGTTCCATAGAATCCATCCTAATAAGTGGATTTTGAAGTGGATTTTGCAAAGAGGAAAGGTCAACTACCGGGATTTGTGAATGAGGAAGAACATAGTGTGAGTGCAATAGTAAACTAGCTGGGACAAGGACTCGGTAAGGTGACAGGGAGAGAGAGATTGGGGACAGGTGAGAGTAGAGAAGAGCGAGAGAAAGTTGATGGTAACAGCTGAAGAATAAGAGAGAGATTGGGGAGGGGTGACGGTAGAATGATGGGACGTGAGGGTTCGCGTGTTAGTTTTTTTTAATTTTTTGATTTTGTATATAATTAATAAGAGTTACAATTCTAACAAAATATATTAATAATATTCATTGCAATGTTTGAATTCAAATTTAACAATTTTAATAATATATTAGTATATGTCCACACATAAAGTGTGAAATTTTTTATTTTCATTTTTTAAATTGAAAGAGAAGGAAAAGAAGTGTGAGAGAACGTTAAATTGGGAGAGAGGAGGAGAGACAAAGAGATTTATTTTATATATTTTTAAAAATTAGAGACGTTAAAAATCATTTGTAGACGAGAGTTAAACAATTTTTTTTTATGTGAAATTACATTACTGCTTTTAATTTTGTTGTTGTGACAAAAAATTAAATATCCATTTCGTCATCTTTTAGTTGATAATTTTTTTTTATTAATATGTAGTTTAGATTAACAATAATTATGAGAACCATGAAAATGATCTCGTTTGCTAAAATTTTGAAATAAGCCGAGAAGGGCAGTCTTGGCGCCCATAGACTGAAAACCAAACGACATTTCATCCCCAAACGCGAAACCCGCAACACTCTCTCTCTCTCTCCACTACCCATGGAGGAGACCGCCATCATTTCAAAACTTGAAGCTTCCAGCTCCACCGGCCTTCATCCCCTCGTCGCCGCCTACCTTCAGCCGTTTACCCCAACTCCATAACCCCCCAAAAACCAAAAAATCAACCGAATCCCAAGCCCCCCAAACCCTCCGCTCCCTTGCCAAGAAATTCCTCCCCTTCCTCAACCGCGCGCTATCCCTTCTCCCCAAACGCCTCGCCGACCCCTCAAAGTTAGATGACGAATTTGCCCTCGAACTCTTCGATATTTACCGGCTTTACCTCGACTGCCTGGCCGCCGTGTCCCCTGTGTTGTCCGCTTCGCCGTGCTCGTTTCACTCCCAGAGGGGGAGGATGGTGAGTTGCCTGGTGGCATGTGGGCGGTACGAGGATGCGGAGAGTGAGTGGTTTAGGGTTTTGGAGAGCCTTAAGGCGATTGAATTTGGGTCGAAGAAATCGGTGAAATCGGACCGGAGATTTGTGCCGGATGTGAAATCGGACCGGAGATTTGTGCCGGATGATATGACTCCCGAGGAACAATATATATTGCATTTGCCAATAGTCCAATATTTTTGAATCTATTTTGTTGTTCTAATTAATACAGAGGAGGCAAAGGCCAAGGCCGAGGAAGAGTTTTGGAAACAAATACGCACTGCCCCTTATGAAATTACCGAGGTTTTCCAAAGGCTGGTTCTTTTCAAGCATAAAGCGTATCCGCAGCCTCCCATCATCAGTGTTAATCCCACTAACAAGGAGGTTTGGTCCCCTAGCACATTGATTTTCTTCGTATCTGTGTTACTACTCAGCAACTTATTTAACTGTAGTTATCTTCTTTTTTTTGGGTAATCCCGGACACCGAAAAACACAAAACTATCTGAGAAGTACAAACTAGGCGGTTTTTACCAAACCCCAAAATATCATTAGACAAAACATCACCAATCCAAACATGAGGTTCTTCACGAAAACAAAAACCCAGATCAAAGTTGTAGCTCCAATTGGCTAGACAGTCTGCAACAAACACACAAATCTCATACCAAAAACACATGTTCAACCTTGCAGCTCCAACACCGATTTCTACCCTCTCATCTTTCTTCACGGTCTCCCCTCTCCCTATACTTTCTCACTACCCAGTATCCGTTTCTTTAATTTTGCATCAGAAATTAAGGAAAATAAGGAAAGATAAATCGTATATATCAAATAAAAAATGATACATCCAAATGAAAATTTAAATCACTCTGGACTCCAACTCGAAATAACCGATTTGAGTAACCCGGCGATTGAATCGAAAATACCAACAATCATATTTATCTTTCCGCCGTCAAGCTCCGCACCAGAAAGACATCGTTTCCTCCATAAGATACAAAGAGAGACCATACGACGGAAACCACGGAGATGAGGAAAAACTTAATTTATCTGTCAGTGTACTCTTCCCACAATCTGATGGAAGCAACGAGCGAAGCAGAGCACAAACGACGGAATTGAAAGACGTTCAAGAAGTTGGAAGTTATCAGATGCAGTGACAGTGCGAGACAAAGAATCGGGTATTTTTTTTGTTACGTCTTTATTGAAAGTGCACAAAAACACCTTCAATTAATGGATGTGGTAACGGATGCTAATTAAAGGGTTGATCCAAAATGACCTGTTATTTAACTAGTCCATCCGTTAACAATCCGACTCATTAAGCATTCACTAAAACATTAATCTTAACGAATGAGCTGGGTCGAGTTAACAGATTGGGTCTTAAATGCCAAGTCTACCTAGGACATTGATTTTTTTCCATATATGTAATACTACTCAGAAACTTATTTAATTGTAGTTATCTTATTTTATCTATTTTTCACGTGCAGGTTTTTAACATTAATGTGCTAGAGTGGAAGTGGGTGTTATTTTACATTTCAAGCCTGGACAATGTTTCTGATCAAGAAATTTCATGTCTCAAAGAAGTGTATGAGGGAATCGAAGAGCGTAACGAGTGTGTGATTGTGTGGATCCCTGTTGTTGAGGACTGGACTGAAGGAGGAGAAGAGCAGTTTAAGGAATGGAGGTCTAAGATGCCATGGTACGCGGTGCAATATTTTTCGCCCCCGGCCAGTGGGTACCTTGAGCAGCGGTGGAACTTCAAAGGTAATCCTATGGTGGTGGTGATGAACTGGGAAGGAGAGGTGGCAATCAGCAACATAATCGACTTGATTCGGACACAAGCAACGAAGGCAATCGCTTTGCTTAACGTTAAAATGCAAAAAGAAATACCGCGGGGTAAGTGGACCATTTAATTCAAAAGGAAGAGCACATAAAATTATGTTGGCAATGCTAAATGTAATGATTTTGTTTCTCCTTTTTATAATTATTTTAAATCGCTTTAATTACTTGGAACGAATGCTAAAGCAGTGGAGGCTGCGCAATCCTCATTTGGAACGAATGCTGAAGCTGTGGAGGTGTTGAAGAGCTTAACTTGTCCTCGGCAATTCACTAATACTGATGCGACGCCTGTCCTTCTTGATGGTTCTAACAAGCAGGTTTGCTCTCATTCTATATTAATAGTCTAGCTACGATTTGGCGTTAAAAATTATCAAATTATTCATTAACTGTGCTGGAATTTTCTTTCAAACAGGTTAATATCGACAATGAGCTGAAGTGGAAGGATCTGTTTTTGTTACTCTCCGACATAGGCATTGATTATTGTTACATTTCATATCTCAAACCAGTTTATGAGGGAATAAGAAGATACCCATCGTATCGGATTGTCTGGGTTCCCGTTGTGGAGCAGTGGAACCAAGACAAAGGATAACAACTTGAGACGTCGAGGTTGAAGATGCCGTGGTACACATTGAAGTGTTTTTCAACCATACCAGGCATCAAGTACATGAAAGAGAAGTGGAATTACACGGGTAAGCCTGCGGTGGTGGTGATGACCAGTGCAGGTATGGTGAAAAATAAAAATGCTTTCCCCTTGATTAAGAAACGTGGAATGGACGCCTTTCCTTTCTTTAAATGAGTTATATAATATCATTACTACGGTGGCTACACCGCGTGCCGGTAAACTGTGCAGCTGCCTATTATTCCTAAAATAAGGAGCAGTTTTATTGTATCTACTATCTAGATCACCGTCCACCCGCATGATGTATCCTGTGGTTATTAATATTTGTGAACTTACATCTTGATATTTGTTTGGATAATCGGAATCATTAATCTGAAACGAATGTTTAGCTTTCATTCAATTGCTTTAATTACTTGGATATAATATGCATGAGATCACATGAACTTCTTGTTGATATTATTGTAATAATTGATTGATATATATCATGCAGTGTAAACTGTGAGAGCGATCAATATATGAGTCATGTGGTTTATATGGGCTTGCGTCGTGATGAATGGAAACATAGAATTCAACTTTGCGACTAAGAGAAACATACTTTTTTATTTTCAAAGGACAATAATAAGTGAATGTTATATCGTGGGTGTTAATTCACATAACCAAACACAAAGGGACGACTAGTATAAGCAAGGTTTATACGGGATGTGTGGGATCTATGTATTTTGGAATACAAATTAACAAGGATAGAGGTGGGAATGAGGAATGCATTTATTAACATATGTTAACATACTTGGGACTTGGGAGAATGAAGGAATGATAGAACTTAGAAATATGGAAAATAATTAGGGAGCTTTAATGAGTGTTGATTTTAATTTTGGAAAATGGTCACCATTTCTAGACAATGACACTATTTTTAGAAACAGTGGTCACCATGTACCACATTGGCATATAATACATGACGTGCAATATACGAAAGACGTATTATTTTTGTAATTTTGACAATTTTGGGTTAGAAAATATTTATATAATTACGTATATTATAAGATACAAGGTGCATGATGTGCAGATGCACAATAGCAGGAAGTATATATATGTATGCATGTACCTGAAAGAAACCTGGTTCCATAGAATCCATCCTAATATTGATGGTAATTTGAGGACTAAGAAGTGGATTTTGCAAAGAGGAAAGGTCAACTACCGGGGAGTGGAGCTGATAATTTGGGACAAGGACTCGGGCCTCGTGAATGATGGGATGTGTTAGTTTTTTTTAATTTTTAATTTTGTATATAAATAATAAAAAGTTAACAATTCTAACAATATATTAATAATATTCATTGCAACGTTTGAATTCAAACTTGACAATTTTAATAATATACTAATATATGTCCACATATAAAGTGTGTGAAATTTTTTATTTTTGTTTTTAAAATTGAAAAGAGAAGGAGAGAACGGTTAGATTGAAAAGAGAGGAAGAGAGACAGAGAGATTTATTTTTAATTTTTATATATTTTTTAATTTTTAATATTTTAAAATTTGAGATGTTAAAATCACTTGTAGGTGAGTGTTAGACAAAAAATAGCAAAATTTTGTTATGTAAAAATACATTACTGCCCTTAATTTCTTTGTTATATTAGAAGATTAGATAATCTTTTCACCATCTGTGAGTTAACAAAGAAAATTCTATTAATATTTAGTTTAGATTAACAATAATTATGGAAGCATGAAAATGATCTCAATTGCTAAAATTTTGAAATAAGCCGAGAGGGGCAGTCTTGGCGCCCAAAGACTGAAAACCAGACGACATTTCATCCCCAAACGCGAAACCCGCAACTCTCTCTCTCCACCACCCATGGAGGAGACCGCCATCATTTCAAAACCTCGTCGCCGCCGACCTTCTGCAGTTCACCAAACTCCAGAACCCCCCAAAAACCAAAAATCAACCAAATCCCAAACCCACCAAACCCTCCGCTCGCTCGCCAAGAAATTCCTCCCCTTCCTCAATCGCGCGCTATCCCTTCTCCCCAAACGCCTCGCCGACCCCTCAAAGTTAGATGACGAAGTTGCCCTCGAACTCTCCGATATTTACCGGCTTTGCCTCTACTGCCTGACCGCCGTGTCCCCTGTGTTGTCCGCTTCGCCGTGCTCGTTTCACTCCCAGAGGGTGAAGATGGTGAGTTGCCTGGTGGCATGTGGGCGGTATGAGGATGCGGAGAGTGAGGGGTTTAGGATTTTGGAGAGCCTTAAGGCGATTGAATTTGAATCTAAGAAATTGGTGAAATGGGACCGGAGATTTGTGCCAGATGTGTAGAAGGGGGGAGGAGATAAAGAGTTTAGGTCTTTAGTGGGAGAAATTGTGGTGACGCTTGTGAAATGTGCGGCCATGAGTCAGAGTAAGGATAGTGAGGTGTATGGGCGGGTGCTTTGTTTGGTTGAGGAGGTCGTGCCGTGGTTCCGGTGAGTAAATCGTCTGATTTTCGCTTTCCGCAGAATATTGCTGTTAGTAATTTGGATTAATCGTTTCAGCTTGAAAAGCAGAACCATAAACTTATCCGAAGCAGGCACAGTCTCACTGGCATTTCGTGCACAACATTATATATGATTTTACGGCTATGATATGTATACTGATTGGTGTACCTGCTATGAAATGTCTCAGGGTATTAGATGCAAGCACATGTGAGAAGTTGCACACGAATCTCGCTGTCTACCTGAGTAGGTGTACTCAATTTTTAGTTAGGGAGCTATCATCGTTCAACGGGGATCTTGTGCAAAAGTTCTGCCTTGTAACCATGGCTGAGTATGTCAAGTCGTGAATGAAAGATACAATGTTCAAGGTAGCCTATGTTTTGATTTTATAGTTGCGATTTATAAAAAAATTTCATGCATGTATCTAATCAGTAACTGTCTTTTGTTCATACAGTTTGCCCGTACGATGTGTTCATCTTTGTTCTTGTCTCGAGAGGACAGATTCACGCTCTCTCGCATCTTATTTTGCTTGTTGGACTCCCTTGTCCACAAATGTAAGGTAACACTGAGTTTTAAATGTATATTTTAAGATTGAAGAATGTGGTTTGACCAAGATGTCTATGTTCAGTGATCATCGGTGCCCATGACAATGTTTAGTTTCAAGGTATTGACTTGAAGGCTGAGCCAGTTTGTATTAGAAATGTTGACCTCTATTTCAACTAAATGGTAGAAATATGATTGCATGTTTTTATTTGTAATTCTTTAACTTTGAGATACCATACAATGATTAAGCTAAAAAGGTTGCAATGATTAAGCTAAAAAGGTTGCCATATCTTCTGGATTCAAAGTGCTTTGCCCCTTTTGAAAATGTATGATGTCTTGGGAATTAGACATCGGATTATGCAGATTTTCTATTTGTTGTATCTACTTGGTATGTTTTATTCCTCTGATTTGATTGCCATTATTTTCTTCAGACACAGCATACTTGTTTTCTTAATTGTATTACAACTTTTTTTTTTTTTGGGTCAACATCGCATTACAATGTTAAAGTGAAATTGCCATTTCATATGCATAGACTTTTAGTACTTTACTAGGAAGTGGTGCCCGCGCGTTGCTGCGGGATAAGAAAGTTTGTAGGTAATAACAACTAAAAAATTATTAAAAATAGATTGAGCATAATTTGTAAATTGTTCAGTTTTGACTAACGTTATATTAATTTATACAAACAAATGCATTGAGATATAAAGAGTAAGTGAAATTGGATACATACCTTGGTTGAGAATTTGGATAACGTCTTAGAAAAGATAAGTTTGTTGCAATTTAGTACAACAAAGATGGATCAGATTTGTGTAAATTGGTAAACTCAGTTTTGATCATCTAAAGTAAAAATCATCATTTCCGTCTTCTCTTCAGAGGAATTAACTATTACCAATTTATATAGACATCATACCACTAAAGATAAACCTTGTCCATATTTTCTAAATTTGTGAAAGAACATATTAGATTAAAATATGAGGAGAGGGTATATCTCTAGTACAAATGTCTACTTTTATACCTTTGGATATCCAATTTAACTTTTCAATATGCAAGCAGGTAATTTGCCATGTATTTAGATCATGTGAAAAGATAATTTGTATACATATATTAGTAATAGCTAATTCCCCTAAAGAGAAAGCTTGACAAAATTTGTAATTAAATGTAAAACGTCAATAAAAAAAATTAATAAAGTATTAATTAATTTTACATACAGTTATAAAACTATAACGTAAAAGTAGCTCTAGATTATAACTTAAGCAAAGAAATATGTGAAAATAATGATTCCATATACAATTTAAAGCCATAGTATTGACAGCAACCAGACAATTATCAAACAAAAGGAAGAAATATAATCTTTCACACAATTTTACAAAAGCAAAAAGCACTTACACAAACACACTCAATTGCTAGTAACCTTGACAGCTGAAAGCTACTTCAGCAGCTGAAATTACTGTAGGAACCGAGATGCAGCAGAGATTTTTTCAAATTGAAATTAATCTGCAAATGATTGCAAACACAAAAATAATTCATTTTCAAATAAAGATAAAACAAACTTAAAATATTTCCAGGGTACTTTCAAAAACAGGAGAATAAAAACGAAGCTTTTATCAACATGACTCTCAATTTTATATAGATTAGCATAATTCAATTTAAGCACAAAACTGAAAGTCTAATGATGACAGAATACAGTGTAAATGTTACTAAAATAACTTGTCATACAGAATAAGCAAGGCTTTTAAACTACAATATTAATCGAGCAAATTTATATATCATTATAAATGTTATTAAAATCAGCTAGAATACAAAGCAGTAAAGATTTATATCCGAGGATAATATTTTAGACATTAAACTATAAAACTACTTAGCCGCTCCTGAGAAGAATACAAAAAGTTTCTTTTAACCACCATTTTAAAAAACAGAACAACCAATATATACACAATCACAAAGCTTGATCAAATAAAAAAGATGTAACCACAGTGGAGCGAACAAATATAACCTTTTGAATATGGTTTTTTTTAATTTTTTTTTCACATCATTCCCTACAAAAAAAGCAAAAACCGCGAGTGTCAAATGGATTATAACAACACTGTGTGAACGGATGTCCACGTGAAGCTGCGGATGCCAGCCTGATGTTACGGATGCCTGTGTGATTGAGAATAACTTGCACTAAATTCTATATAAAAAAGGGACAGATTAACATATTTAAGCTAAGTATTAAGATGCAAACATTCTTAAGATAAGAAATCATATAATTAAGCAGAAAATTGATAACGTATTCAATAAAACTACAAAAGGAAAAGGGGTTATAGAAAATTACACTTTAAATATTTCCAATTAGTGATTAATCACTTTGATTATTGGCAATCTACAAACAATGACTGATTAACGTCAAATGAAATTGACATAAAATTCAAAGATTCAAGAATTTAATTAAAAATTATACATATACTATCCGGACCTTATTGTATATAAATAAAAATTCAAATAATAAAAAAAATTCAAGGTTCCATGATGGATAGTTTTAAAAATTAGAAGCTGAGATGGTGATACCTCCAGCATTTCTCAAACTCTCAACATCCTGAAACAATAAAGCAAATCAACAATGCAACAAACATAAATCACATAAAGAAAATAACACACTGTAAAAAAGATGCAAAAAGTTGAGCAGAAAACACACACCTTAAACTTCTCAATCTATTCTTTAGGAGTGCATTAAGGGCCCAACTGCATTTTACTGCTTTCTTCTTCAATCTTCCTCTCACTTGTACACTCATCTGCCTTCCAATCCTCACCATTCCTTCACTATCTGTATAAATAAAAATAGAAAAAGATATAACACTCTTAAATCAAACCCCAAAATAATTGGGTAAAAGCATTTTAGATTAAAACCCAAACCTAAACAGCTAAAAAGACCAGCACATAAAATTAATAAATGAATTAAAAGAACAGTAAACATATATTAGTCCCAAGAAAAAGATATCTATTGGACGTAATGTATGTTTCCCACCTTAATCATTTTTATATTGTTATTGTTATCATGTTGGCTAGCACCCAGCGTAGTGCTGTAGTGGCGTACAACTTTTCCTTTCTTTACTGTACCAATAGCTCTCTTGCACCCCCATGTTGAGCTCTTCTCTGCATATATACCTCTTGTAAGTAATCTTAATCAGTCAGTTATCATAAATATACAACTTATATTAATTTTCTACAATATCCAACAACACACAAACATAACAGAAGAAGAAACTTTTACTTAAGCGGCGCAAAAGGATATCCTCTGCATTTCATTCCAAAATCCATCACTCTTATGTCTTTGCCTGCACAGTTTTTGCTCCAACATAGCCTGCCATGATGATAGCACTATCAATAATTAAGACATAAAGAAAGGCTACCCTAGCTAGCCATTATCGTTGGAGTAAACCAATAGCATCGTAAGTAAAGTAGCAGACCAAGTTTTTTTAGAATTGATGTGTTAACATGTTTAAGTAGCAAAAAGATTACAACACGTTGGATGTGTTAACACATCCATAAGCTGATGATTCCCTCTCCGGTTTATCACATCATTCTTAATATATTCAACAATGTAGCAACACTGAACTCACATAGACTACGTTTTTTAACTGTCTCTCTCTCTCTCTTTCTGATCATCCACATGTGTTTCTGAGAAATGTTTAGCCATTTAACTAAAACACAAAAAAATAAATAAAAAATAAATCCTCACCCACATCAAAAAACCGAAACATGCAGAGCACAACCCAAAAATTAAGGATGACCATCCCTCTTTTTTTTTTTAAAGTTTTAGGGAAGGATCGATGCACAGACAATCGATGTACAGGAAAACCCTAACCTAAAAGACCAAAATTTCCCAAGATGAAAAATGCAATTAGATGGAACAACCAAACACAAATATCATAAAAAATGCATAAAACATTCCAAATAAAAAACCCACACACCTTAATCGAAAAGGGTTTCCAAGATTGCACAGAGAAACCCTAAAATTGATAGAGCAGTATATCTTGAAAAAATGCAATCAGATTAAACAACGATGCTAAAAACACGAAAAAATTAGGAAAGAACTGATAAAAAAACGCAAAGATTTTAATTTTACACCAATCGATCTACAATTTTTCTTCCTAATCAAAGAAAAGAGAAAAAGAATTAAATAGACAAACCACCTGAAACACCGCGATCAGTCAGAAAAACCACCTTTTCAGACGGCAGACGATGAACACAAACAGAGAAGCAAGGAAACACGAAGATCGAACAGGGAGAAAAGCAGAAAAACAGAGAGCAGGCGAAAGGAAAAAGCAACGGAAGAAAATGAGAGAAGGTTCGAGCACCTTTCCGTATGTAGGCTCATTGCACAGAGGGGCAAAATCGACAATTTCTGTAGCATCTTTTAAAAGGCTGAAAACCGTGCGTTAGATGAGGGACAAAACAGGAACGGCACTGTTAATGAACAGTGTTTTTCCACCAACGTTTAGTATAGATAGAATATTGTGTCTCTTTTACCGAGTGACATCTTGATGTAAACTTTTTATTTATTTGAGCACCTCATAACAAATGTTGCCTTGAACCTTATATACAATTTCTTTCCTTTTGGAGGTGGTGCTATGTTCGTTTGAACCGTTTGGAGATAATTACTTATGGAATTGAATTAGTCAGCTGCTTATTGCATTTCTGTAAACTTTTGGCAGGCTAAAGTGGAAAATACAGGAAAAGAGTTCATTGAAATTATTGCTTATTGTGCCAAGAAATGTCAAACTACAAACCCAAACCTTTGCGGTGTTGTTGGATCCCATTTAAATAAATTAGCAGGTGATTTCCATCAGGTATCTTATTTATGTAGTTTGCTCATAAAAATTCAGTAAACTGGCACTCGTTTACAGTATTTGCATTTTGTGTTGTAATTTAAAATACAGCCTTTTTGTGCAGGTTGGAACACCTTTTCATTTGATTCTAAGGGTTTGTGCCACTGGATTGCACTTTGTTGATTGCAGTATGAAGTAAAAAATTAGTCATCTTCAATTATTTGAAGGTGCAGTCAGAGTTTTGTTTGATGATGGGGACGCAATGAATCGTTTGTCCGACTTGCTTGGTTCATGGAGAAGTTTTTTCCAATTTGGCGGCATTGACGACCCTTTGTTCCAATTTGCAGTTGAGTTCGGACAATGGGGAATCATTGATTCAAATGCAGGACAGAAAGAACTATCTTCTGTCTTATTTTAATGCATTGAAATTCTGATGCCTGCCGCTTACAGAGTTAGTAAATTCAGGAGGGAAACAGATTATTACAAATAATGAAGCTGCTTTTGTTTCTGCTGAATTGTGCCATATCCAGGGTGCTTCCATCAGTTTTGTTTTCTTTCTCTGCAAATGTGAGTCAACAATAAGCTTCAGTGTTTTCATTTCTTTGAGTATTATGTACTCGTGACTGAAGTTGCTTGGTCTTCTTAATCCACAATTTCTTCAGTCCTTTCCCTAAATACTATCTCACACAAGATCACAGTCAGTTGATGTTATAAGATGTATCTGAAATATGTTTTGTGCGTGTATAGAGATGGATTTGATGGAAACAGCACCCTTGATGTTGCTCTGGCTGCTTTTACCCTCGCCATCATAACAAAGCTGAAAATGCAGGTTGTCATTCTTATGATATAATACTGAAATTGTTACGCCCCAATCCCGACATACGTCCAGGATCGACACGTGACGTCACTAAATACCCGTATATCTAACTTACCTCGCCTCCTGAATATATATACAAAGTATCGTTCAAGATCCAGATGCACAATAATTTTTCGTATACTTTATGGCTGCATCTAACCTCCTCGTTAGACTGCCTACGTACCCTCAAAAGGGATCAAGCCATTCGTAGTTCACCAATCGTCAACTCCAATCTTTCCGTAAAATACTTCTAATAGCAAATCATAAGGCACCATATTACACATCAACCTTACGTCAAACAACAATTATCATCTTTCATACACGCATGAAACCCATTCTCACACAGATACTTTCCAATTCATCCATCATATAAATCATTCTGTTTCACACAATGCCGCAAATCATAGTATGTAACATATCCAAGAACCAACGAAGCACAATGTTATTCTCAAGTCACATTAATCAATTACTCAATTCATAATAATCTCAATTATACCCAACGTCATTCCACAATCACATCAATTAATTAATCATGAATCAAAGATACATGATCTTAGCATTTAATTGTTTAATCATTGAATGCAGTAACATATCATTTCACAAATTTAACCAAGGAACTCTAACGACTCTGAAGACATCCAACGAATTGTTTGAAACAAATCACAACAGCTCATAATCATAATCTCATACAACACCATGAAAAGTAGGGCTAGAGCAACACAGTTCGGCCAAAGCCTACATCTATGAAGCTATCTCGATCCAAACTCAATAAAACCCAAGGTGAACACGATCCCGGACCATCTCTCAACAGAATCGTGAAGTAGGAGGGATTCCGGACCATCTCTCAACGGAATTCGAGTGGATACGATTCCGGACCATCACTCAACGGAATCGCGGAGCACAATGCCTAATCACCACTAAGTGAAACCCAAGTTAGATACGATTCCGGAACATCACTCAACGAAATCGCGGAGTAGAAGGGATTCCAGACCATCTCTCAACGGAATCCGAGTGGATACGATTCCGGACCATCACTCAACGGAATCGCGGAGTAGAAGGGATTCCGGACCATCTCTCAACGGAATCCGAGTGGATACGATTCCGGACCATCACTCAACGGAATCGCGCGGAGTAGAAGGGATTCCGGATCATCTCTCAACGGAATCTGAGTGGATACGATTCCGGACCATCACTCAACGGAATCGCGGAAAGCCAACAACCATAATGTGCGACGGCTCAAAGAAATGAGACAAGCACAAGTTGCTTAATTTACAAAAGCTTGACAAGGGAAATTAGGCACAAATACTAAATTTAGAACTAATCGACGAAGCGGGAAATGAAACAATATCAAAGCAACAAATCCCCATCACCATGGTTAACGGTCCATTACTAGTCTTCACATTTCATCACAACATGCCAATCATACAATTCAAACCACATTCCACAACATTTCAATGCATAAATCAAACATGCTTAATAAACAAGTATAATATAATACGGTGCCACTAGTACATGAATCGAGTCACACGTCAACCGAGGAGACATGTCATCACGATGAGCCCATCAAGTTCCATGAAATCCCAACCACACTCTAAGCTCAGAGGTACGCTAGAAGAACTCGGCTAGTTGATGGATTTCTCTATATATACTTCTAATACGAATCTACGATCACATTGTCACAACATTTATCGGACTTACCCTTCACATTACTAAAAAGATAATTAAACGCACATATATCACAATCATCATCCGTACATAAGCCAATTCATGTTTAATAGACATAAGTCTATGGCTAAACATATAAATATAAATCATATTTCAATAGAAATCCTATTTAGAAGACCAATTCATATTCACAATTGACATCAATACCATCATTCAATTAGTAGTAAGGAAGATTAGAAAGGAATCTGGAAAGAAACTAGGTGTGGCAAAAACAGTACTCTGCTTCTCCACCAAATCTGCAGAAAACAGCTCCATTAGACCAAGTTTAGGCTCTCTTTGGAACATTCGAACTAAATCAAATCACATAATATTATATGGGTTTTGAAGCTTGCGTTCTGTACTTTAAAAGCATACAAAGTTTGTAGAAAACGGAGCTCTAAATTGGAAGTTATGCCAATTATAAAATGTATCCCAAAACTAGAAATGCAGAACTTGCTGTCTGGCAGCTTTGTGACTCAAATTTGATCATAGTTTTGGTCAACCAAAACTCAATGGAATTAAGTGAAATCAGATGGGTTTTGATCATGGACATGTCTATTTTC